TAAGATAGTGTCCTCCCTGAATTGAGAAAGAAGAGAGAATACCTATGTGCTGCTATGCCTATGGTCCAGAATTGCTATCCGTACGACCTTGGTCTTTGATTGTATAAAAAATACATACTAAGCAAGTAAGCCTGCCTAAAAGCATTTCTTTTTTACACCTCTTCTCTCGATTTGAAGAGATTACACATCACTGCGAACGAACTTATTCACTCTTCGAAGCCCCCACCACCTTCTTTCTTTGAGCTGAGCACTTTACTTCAGCTGTGGTCATTGCCTACCGGTAAACTCCCATACTTCCTTCTTTTGTTCGAGGGAGGCCATACATCTTCCTTCTTTGGTTGGATCCAGGTCAGAAAGTTATAGGAAGGTTGTGTGCGCAAACAAGTCTGAATTAAGAAGAAGGGGAGCGAGCAGTACACTACCCATTTGGGTATTGGCAAATCACAGTCATACTTCTTAGAGCGGGGTGGAGCACCACCACCTTAAGCTGCACAAGTATCTTAGTAATAGACACCGATTAAGAAACTGAGAAGTCTAGATTATGGAGACTCTCTAAGTTTTTCTCTGATTTCCTGTGTCTATACTACTTCACTTTAGACCCCGCATATTGTATGTATCCTTCGCCCTTATTTTAAGTTCAGAGAATCCGCCTTCACCCTTCGGAGAAAACATGGTGGCCGGAGACAAGGTATGTAGATTAATAGAGTAGCTCTTACTTTTTGAATATATCATTGATCAAAACTTGGTTCTCATGGATGAAGTGTTTGAGTAGACAAAAGAAGAAGAAGTTGCTACACGAAGTGAAAACCGGTGCTAAGAGCAGGATATTCTTATCTATGAGAGAGAACTGCTTGGCCCACGATGAGAGAGAACTAGTAGAGAAGTGCTAAAAGTAAGTGTAAGTTAACGAGCATGAACCTCCTCGTTGAGCAGCCGCCTGAGCTTTCTCTTTGTTTAAAATTGAAAGAGAAGTTTTTGGTAGTGGGGTGCGTGGTGTATTAAAAGTGGACATAGACCCCGGACAAGAAAGCCTTTTCTTAAGCACAAATGCGGTACTATTTTTAGCAAGCAATCTCTTCTACAATAGGCGGTCTGATCAATCCAAAATATTGAGACTGGATTGAGATTTCTCTCTAAATCAAACCGGATTGGAATGCAGGTATAAACCAGCAGCAACCAATAGAGGAGTCAGCCGGTTATGATGCAGCAACAGGTAGACCACTCAAAGACTGAATACAGCTAACATTAGCAGCAAGTGCACCATCACTAACAGTAATCGTAATGGTCTCAAGCATGTGCTTCCTTTCTTCTTGAAGGATCTTGTTTTAAACTTTCTTAATGTCAGGAAGTAGAAGTACGATGAAATAGATCGAGTATCAAGTATATTAGTGTGTAAGGGTTTCAATGCAGACTTTGATGGGGATCAAATGGCTCTTTCAGGAATTGACTTTTGAAAGCCATCAACCAGAGAACGAAGAATCACTGTGTCCGCCGCAAGAGCAAGAGAAGAGAAAGGACACGACCTCTAAGCGAGTGCGAGGCGAGATCTGCAAAACCAATTTGATGCATCCAACGGGCAGCAGTATTGAGGCGACGTGGCCTACCTGAGTGTAGTCACCACAATTTGAGAGTCCATCATAATTTTTTCCGTCACCTTATTCTGCTGAGCTCTATTCTCCTCCGCAATTCTCTTCTTGTTCGCATGAGCAAAATTCAGAGAACTAGTTATTTTCCTCCTGTGCCCATACAATTGGTTCCGCTTTGCTCCGCATCATCTGGAATCTCGCGCGATTCGTCTCGAGATAAAGATACCTTACCATTAAAATCATCTTCTTCCCGTTGCTATTTCTTTTCGCACGCCTCGCTTCATACGGAGTACCTGATATCATCTACCACTCTTTCCAATCTTGCCCTCAGGAAACTGGTCGACTCAAAATCCGCCCCAGCTTTACCATCGGCCTTCGATTTCATTTCTTCGCTTTTATAGAGCTTTTCCTTTTACCTAATGCCGGCTACCGACAACTCTTGCTATCCAATCCTGACCCAATGTACTCCATACTGAGGGGTATGGCGCATACCCATACCCATGACCAACCTGTAAGGTGTTCCCTGGTGAACTGAATTTCTGGGAACATCAATAGAAAAATGACTGTGCACTCTAATTTGGTAGAGAAATATATTACAACATTGTTTAGCTATCTATACTCTGACTTTGCATTAAAATAGGGGTCAAAATGCTTGGTGTCCAACCAGATATCCACAGAGAATAGTCAGTATTAGCTTACCATTTTCTAGTACATATTTATAAACCAATTGCATCTCTGGTAACTCTGAAATTACTTGAATCAGTATTGCTATGAGATCCCCTCTCTAGTACTGCATGTTCCCTTGCCGCTCTAGTTGGTTTACTCCCAGAGACATGATTAGTACCACCAGAGCTTGAATCAATCATTCCATCCCCAACTCCTACATCAGAAACAACAGTGAGAAAAAACTCTTCCATTCTATCTATGCTAGATAAAGGAGCTTCAAAGCTGTAGCTATCCTCATGGCCTTTTCACCCTACAGCCGTTGCACTTTTTTTATTAAATGAAATAGTTCGTTTTCTCGCTCTTAACTCGAAAGTACTAACTAAATAGGGGCACGGAGAAATAAAGAAGTGTGGGGGAGAAGCAGCCGAGCTCATTCCCTTCCATTCCTGCTCTATAGTAGGGGTTATGTCCCCCTTTCCTAGTGAGAGCAATATATAATTCTGCTACGAATAGAGATAGTGCCCTATCCACTGCAAAACGGTACTATGCTTCAACCACACGGTATGGCTCCCTCATTTCAAACCAAGCTGTAGACCGAGTAGGAAACAACTAAAGGTTCCGGTCCAAAGGTAAGAAGATCCGTTGGTTGGAAATCCGTATCAATTGTTACTGGTTCTCCTGTTCTTGGTAATGTGTCATGTGACTCTAAAGCCCCAACTAGGCTAGATCGAGATCTTGGTCCTTGCTAGGCTTACTCGCGTAAATAACCCCCATGTCTTAGGTGTTCTCGAGGGTAAGTGAGTCAGTACAATCGGTTGCACAACCGTCCAGTCCATATCATAATTGTCATAATCAATCATATCAGTAGGTGGCATACTTGCCTGCTCAAGTCCATCTACTATGGATGTGGGCTTGGACCAAGCCATCCCCAAACACTGAACCGGATCTTGAAAACGGGACTGAACTGAATCCGACTTCTTGGTAGCCCAGTGGCTTTTGGTCCCCATGGGAAAGTGCTGAATGGATTGCTCCTTGCCCAACGACAAAAAGAAAGAAATTTAGGAGAGGATTGATAGGTTTAAGCATTCAGGGTTGGTCGCTCTTGTGGATACCTGTGAGCATAGTTTAAAAAACCGGACCGGACCAGCGGTCGAACCGGAAAAAACCGGAACCGGCAGCCTCATTGATTTTTTAAGCTAATAAGACCGTTCTGCAATCAGACTGGAGAAAACTGATCGAACCGGCCAGTTTTCTGGAAAACCGGTGAAAAAACCGGGCCATTGGACCGGGAAAAACCAGGAAAAAAGTTTTAATAGAAATTGGGAAATTGGGATTCGATCCAAGGTCGTGTGAGCAGTACGCAGGGCCTGCCCATGGCCCAATAACCAACTTGGCTGTGCTACTTTGTTGTCCACTACATGGATACATTTTTATTTGACCATTGTTTCACACTATATTAGCACATATATTAATCAACATATATTGTTTTATTTCTTAAAAAACCGACAACCAAACCGGTGAACCGGCAGTCCGACCGGTAAAAACCTGAACCGACAACCTTTCCGGTTCGATTTCCGGTTCAGTTTTTTAAACTATGCCTGTGAGCTAGAGTCGGGAATCGAAAAGGAGACAACGGAAGCCGTACAGATCTAGTTGGGAATGTTGTTCATGCAGTGGAGAGCGTAAATGACCGGCCCTTGAGGCGCGAGTGGACTTATCATATAGAAAGGAAAGAGATAAGCGGAGGGAGGATGGTTTGATGATAGCCAAGATCTCCATCTCATTTGTCACTCTCGTATTCTTAATAGGAATCGGCAAGGAGATACAACCACTAGGACATTGCCATTCGACTAGTCTATCAGAGTATCCTACGAAGTTAGGTCGAGTAGGCGCAGGATGCGCTAAGCCATTCGATCTTCCTGCTGGTGGTCCACCATAGAGCTCCTATGTAGCTGTTTGTTTTCTCGCTTAACTAATTTGTATGAGGTGATACAGCTGAGATCAGCCAACGGTTTGAGCACTTAGCACAATGTGCCACTTAACCGGACGAGCGCAAGACCGGGTCTACCTACCTTATGACATTTATGAAAAACGAACATTGTATTAAGGGGTTTCTATCAGTTAGTAACAAAGCCGGCAGTATCCTTGAATTCAGGGGTCAGCTACGGGAGGTATGTCTCCATGTGTGTCGAAGAAGCGTCTATCATTATACGCTGTCTATCCAATCCAAAACGGATTCGTTTAGTTGGTAGAACCCATGCCAATATCATATTGACTCTCTCTCGTCCAATAAGAGTTTCCGAGAGTTACTTTATTCAAATTCTCTCCTTTCCAAATCTCCACAAGGAAAAAAGAGTAATAGGACAACAATATTGCTTTCATTTATTTTGAGTTCTTTCTTTGTTGAGATGGAAATCGATGTTCTTTTGAAAACGGCTAGGTAGTTTGCGCGCAGGCAAAACTTCTTCATGAAAGGTCAAAAATAGACTTGGATTTCATGGGTTTCTTAATGACTAGTCGTTCGTTAGAAGCCTTAAGAAACCGGCAGTTTTTTTTCGAATGACCTTATTTCGAGAATCAACTAACCGACAAATCTGTAGCCCAGGTGATTCGCTGCCTCCCTCTTGCCAAAATGGGATGAATCTTCTCATGCAGCTTTTTGATTATTCAGGGCGCAGCGAAGCCAATTTCCATCAAGGCAAGGGGGTAAATAAGGGGGAAGAGGAGTTGTAACAATAGAAAAGAGAAATGACTATAAGGAACCAACGATTCTCTCTTCTTAAACAACCTATATACTCCACACTTAATCAGCATTTGATAGATTATCCAACCCCGAGCAATCTTAGTTATTGGTGGGGGTTCGGTTCGTTAGCAGGTATTTGTTTAGTCATTCAGATAGTGACTGGCGTTTTTTTAGCTATGCATCACACACCTCATGTGGATCTAGCTTTCAACAGCGTAGAACACATTATGAGAGATGTTGAAGGGGGCTGGTTGCTCCGTTATATGCATGCTAATGGGGCAAGTATGTTTCTCATTGTGGTTCACCTTCATATTTTTCATGGTCTATATCATGCGAGTTATAGCAGTCCTAGGGAATTTGTTCGGTGTCTCGGAGTTGTCATATTCCTATTAATGATTGTGACAGCTTTTATAGGATACGTACCACCTTGGGGTCAGATGAGCTTTTGGGGAGCAATAGTAATTACAAGCTTAGCTAGCGCCATACCAGTAGTAGGAGATACCATAGTGACTTGGCTTTGGGGTGGTTTCTCCGTGGACAATGCCACCTTAAATCGTTTTTTAGTCTCCATCATTTACTCCCCCTTATTTTAGTAGGCGACAGTCTTCTTCATCTGGCCGCATTGCATCAATATGGATCAAATAATCCATTGGGTGTACATTTTGAGATGGATAAAATTGCTTCTTACCCTTATTTTTATGTAAAGGATCTTGTAGGTCGGGTAGCTTCTGCTATCTTTTTTTCCATTTGGATTTTTTTGCTCCTAATGTTTTGGGGCATCCCGACAATTATATACCTGCTAATCCGATGCCCACCCCGCCTCATATTGTGCCGGAATGGTATTTCCTACCGATCCATGCCATTCTTCGCAGTATACCTGACAAAGCGGGAGGTGTAGCCGCAATAGCACCAGTTTTTATATCTCTCTTGGCTTTACCTTTTTTTAAAGAAATGTATGTGCGTAGTTCTAGTTTTCGACCGATTCACCAAGGAATATTTTGGTTGCTTTTGGCGGATTGCTTACTACTAGGTTGGATCAGATGTCAACCTGTGGAGGCACCATTTGTTACTATTGGACAAATTCCTTCTGTCTTTTTCTTCTTGTTCTTTGCCATAACGCCCATTCCGGGACGAGTTGGAAGAGGAATTCCAAAATATTACACGGATGAGACTCATCACACCGGATCCTTTTCTCCTTTTGGCCATAGCCATATAATGAATAGGACTATTTCTCCTTTTGGCCATAGCCATAGAAGAAGCTTCTCCTCCAAAGCGGAGGGAGGGGAATCTCAGGATTCCTATGACCCTGCTTATATCTCTTTTTAAGAGCTCGTTTAGGGTTTTTCCCGGGTTTGGTACCAAATCTGGATAAACTCCTTTCGGTTCTTAAACCTAAGGAAATTCTATTTCTGGCTTTTTGCTTCCCGCGGGATGCGAACATGTTTTTTTTGAGGAATTAGACAGTGGGAGGGGCTCCCACTATGTTTGTATTACTCAAAAGAAGGATACAATGTACAAGGAGGATTTACATGGTGCCTGACCTCCACTTGTGGAGGTTGGGGCCACTACATTTTTATGGGGATGCAGTCAAGGGGGTTCTAAGCTATTTACAAAGGAGAGAATAAAGTCTCTCACATCTTCTCTGGTTCTATGTTGGAGCAGGCTAAAATCATGTTTGAAACGTTCGAGCCAAGAGCGAATAGTTGGTGTGATGCTTCTGAAATGTTTGTTATTCCTCTCTTTCCAAATGCTCCAAGCCGCCTGAAGGAAGACCTCCATGAACCTGGGATTGTTCCAATCATGAGCTGCCATGCTGATCCACCGAAGCCTTGAACCAGTTTGCTGCCAAGTTATCCCTAGAATGGACCAGCAATGTTGGCTAAAAGGGCATTGGAAGATCATGTGTTCGACAGTCTCTTCAATTCGCTGGTCACAAAGAAGGCAGTTGTAATTGTCTCCAATGTTGTAGTGTCTCCTCTTGAGCATGTTACGTGTGTTTAAGCGGTCTAAAATAAGAAGCCACCCAAACACCTTAATTTTCACCGTTGACCTGGCTGCCCAGAGCCAATTGTATGATTGATGTGCATGCACCTCTCTAAAATAGAACTTGTAATATCTGATTGCCTTAAATTCCACTGAACCCCAACAATATGTCCAGTTATCATGGGGGGTCGGGTCAGTAATGTTGCCAACATGCCTCACCTTTTGTTGTAGATCACGAACTTCTTGCATTGCTTGAACTGAGAGTGGGAGGTGAAACGTTTCATGCAGCGACGTGGATCCCAGGAAATCTTTGACCGAAATATCTTCATTTATTGCGAAGGAAAAGGCGCGCTGGTACATTTCTTCGAGAGTGGCATCAAGCCACAGGTCTTTCCACATGAGCACTGTGGCTTCATCATGCACAATTGCTTTTGAAATACCTCTGTAAATCGGGGTGTGCTTGAGAACATCTCGCCACCAGAATGATCCTCATGGTTCCATGGCATGGGGGATTTTGTTTGTGTAGTATGTGGACCATACGAGCTCCACCCAAGGCACATTGTGTCTGTTGTAGAATTTATGCAGGTATTTGAGAAGGAGGGCGTCGCTTTGTATGCGTAGGTTTATTATGCCAAGACCCCCACACTGTTTTGGTCGACACACCATGCTCCATGCTGCAAGCGAGTTGCATTTGTCCCCATGTTCAGTCTTTTTTGTCCAGAGGCACTTCCTTCGCAATTTGTCAAGCAGCTCAAGTATCTTTGGTGGCAGTCTGAGAGTGCACAGAGCAAAGATAACTAGGGATGTGATCATGGTATTGAGTAGTGATAGCCTGGCTCCATATGACATCAAGGCCAGGGTGCTTGTCATCCGTCGTTCCATTGTGCAAACAAGCGGCATTAAATCTTGGACTGAGGGCTTGGTTGTCCCGAGAGGTAACCCTAGGTAAGTGAAAGGCATGGAACCTACTTTGCATCCAAAGATATTGGAGAGCTCATGTTTAAATTTCCCCTAAAGAATATCAAAGATATGATTAAAGAAGCAATGGCTACTGAAGAAGAAAAAAGAAACAAGCCTCCGGTGGAAGGTTGTGAAGATCGTCGTATGACTCCGGAGGAAAGGACAAAATTGCTCGAAGCATTTTCTTTCCTATGGGATAAAAAACTATGAATTGGAACTATTGAGTGGTGTGGTATCCATCTTAGCAAATAGAGATACCGAGGCCCACCAACCTACTACTTGTTGGTTTGGTGGGGAAAGAGGAGTGGGTATGAGGGCTTCTTTCACTTTTGAAGTTCAAGTGTCTTCTCTTCAAGAGAATAGAGCATAATTGTAGGATTATATGGATATCAGTGCTTTTATTCAATTCTGGAGGCACTCTTCAACGATTGAGGAGATTACCGAGGCGGTCTTAGTGCTATCGTCAGGGTCACGAGCCTACTGTACCCCTTATTCTGGCTTAGCCTTGCTTAAACAGAAGAGGCTTGGTTAGCATCCTTTCTATCAGGTGCTGTTCTTTGCTACCAACAATTCTTTAAGTACGCGGTGAAGTAAATAATAGTGCACTTGCTGACAGTAGAACCCCCAAGAAATCTCACAGTATAGGCCGATATCTTTGTGCAATGTCATTTACAAGCAATGCTCCAAAGTCTTGGCAAATAGGCTGAGAGAAGTACTGGATGAGATCATTTCCGAGGACTTATTAAATAGGGGTGCTTTTTCTATGAATATAATCAATTCCATAATGCTATCCGCTTTGACGAAGCAAATCAGATGACGGGCGATCTATGCCTCGAAAAGGAGAAGAAGTGGTTCTCGATACTGAGCAAAAAGTCACTTTCGATGCAGAAAGTAGGAAACCAAGGAAGCAGGCATTGGCAAAGAGTGAATCTTTATCCGATCCTATAATGGCTCAATCCGATCCAACAACGTACTTCCAAAGGATCCTCGGCTAAGAAAAATAATAGTTGTATTGGCAAGGCATGAAAGGGATTTTCTAATGCTATCCGAAGACGAATCGGAATACGGAACCGGAAGCCGTAGCCCAGAACCTTTAGCTTGAGCGGAAGGGGAGGAAACCGGCTATTCGAACTGGCGGGTGGGTGGATACCCTAGTGCTTATTGCTTTGTCGGAGCAGGGGCGGGGAGGGATTCATTAGTTTGACAACACAAGGGTGTCATGTGGAGAAAGAGAATTGAACTATTCTCCGGGTACTGGTACCGCTTAAGCCCAAGCAAGTGAAGAAATCCTGTAAGATGGACTTGATTTACTTTCCTTTTCAAGACCTATACCATATGGTTTGGGTATACCACTATCACCTATCGAAATGAAACACTAACCTGCCCACGACCCCCTATACCGGATACCTTTGCTTTGAAACCAATGACTAGTAGAGGATTTCGAGGAACAACAGCAAAGGGAAGTAGGGATGGGCTTTCCTCGGATTAGTATTCGGATTTCACTGGTCTTGCCAATGGTTGTTATTCAAAAGAAGGGTTCGCACCGGCAAAGAAGAATATATTTTCTAGTTGTAGCTTTCGAAGAGAAGAACGATTGAATCAAAGGGACGAGCAAAGGCAAAGCAATGGCATGTTTGGAATTCCATAGAGGAATCCCCAAGGAAAGGCCAGGACGCTAACGCTAATGCTATTGATATTCCTAGCGCTTGTTTTCGTAGGATGCCGAGGACTCTTGCTTGAATACAACTAGAGAATTATCAAAAGAATACGACTAGCTCTTTACCGCGGGGATGCGTTGAGAGGAATCAATTGTTTAACCCGGTGACCGGATAGGAGCCGTGACTGTGTGGGTAGCATTATCAAAAGAAGGAAATTCGCAACGCTCTAAATTTCTCTATTTTGATTCTTTTTTAGGGATTGCGCCGTTACTGTACCTGCATTCGCTATTGCTGTTCCGCTTTGCCGTTATCCGTCCCTTAGTTAGCATAATAGGAGGGTGCCTTTTTAGCGCAAGACGATGAAATAACAACCTAAGCTTATCGGCATTAGCAAATTGAGAAATCGAATAGATCCCCGGCCGTTGGATTTGAGCACTGCCGTTACCGTGCTTAGAATTGATGAAATTGGATTTCTTACAAAACCCAGGATCTTCCTATTCGTAGTTTTCTTACAAAACCCAGGATCTTCCTATTCGTAGGTGGTATACAACTACCCCTATCCCTATTGTTTTGATACATGGCGTATTGGCTTTTCGTTTTTCTAGCTAAAGATCCATCTTTCCTGGATTAGTGATTACTTCAATCCATACCCCTATGGAATAACAAAAAGCAAGGGCAGAGGGACCTGGATCCGGAACCATACAATAATTCGTAGGAACCCACACTGGATAGAGGGCCGTCCCTTCCTCTTAAGAGGTGTAATTCTGTTTGGGGATGACATTAGATAATCCGAATCGTAGTCCTCGCTGGAATGGTCGCAAAATGCGAAGGAGTTTTGTTGTCGAAGCTGGGGATCTAGATAGGTACCGATCTCGGTGGGGATTTTCCTATTTTTTCTATGGAATTTGTTTCATTCCTTTCATGCACAGATGAACCTTCTGAGCTTTGGAAGTACCTTTGCCCTGGAGGATTGTCCCGTGATTAAGGGATTTCTCTACAACTATTGCGATTAAAGACATATGCAAATCCAAAACAGGGAAGTACGAAACTAAAGGGACTTTCTCTCGATGAACTCCCTAGTTCCTATGTTTGCTTTGAGGTAGTGCTAATTGCTAATGTGTGAACTATCACTATAGAAAATAGATTGGAATCACTTCTAACATCAAAGATAGGAAAATCTGGCCTATTAGGTGCCGATCCACTCGATCCTATGCTATGCATTTGTGACCAATAGAGGTAAGATCATGAATACAAGATGGCGATGAGTCATGCCAAGTTTGGGGAGTGTTGCTCATAC